TCTGGGTAGCCAGAACTGATAGGTTCAGGGTCTGTGCTTTACTTTAAAGTGTTCTGTGTGAACCAAACTGTTGTATGTATGATTGAGACTAAGCCACGTTACAGTATCTTATTTACTTGATCTTTTTATTTACCCTGTTTGTTATTTAAATAAACCTTGTTCTTTTGTTTGTTAAAAATCCATTCCTGGTCTGTGTGACTCCTTATAGGGAATGGTTGGTGGCAGCATAATTAGAGTGTGGCATACTCCAGTAGGTCTGGGGTTGTCACAGGTACCACAGTGATTCAAAATATACAATAAAGTATATAGCACGTTGCATCCAGAATCACATGGATGGGTGGACAGGAAAATCATGGTGGACAGGAAAACTACACACACCCAATGTTTGTTTGTTTGTTTACTCATTCATTCATTCATTCATTCATTCATTCATTCATTCATTCATTCATTCATTCCATTCCCATTAGTGTCGTAGCACTACTCTGGGCAGGTTACAATTTCATAAAATAGAAAACACAAATGAAAACAGAAATATGTATTCGTGAAGGCTTTCATGGCTGGGATCTAATGGTTGTTGCGGGTTTTTCAGACTCTTTGGTTGAGTTCTGGAGGTTGTTCTTCCTGACGTTTCACCAGTCTCTGTGGCCGGCATCTTCAAAGGATAGCACTCTGTGCTGCCTTTTGGCTAAGATCAAGTGTAGTGTGTAGTGTAGTATCTGGTGCAGTTTGTTTGGGAGTTAAGTATTTATGGCTGTGAGATCAGCTTTTGTCCTTTTCAGAAGATGGGTGATTATGGTAGATCAATGTGTTTTTGTTGTGGGTGTATTGTTGTGATAAGGAGGAGAGATGATCTGTCACTGTGATTGATGGGTGTCGTTAGCTGGTCTTTTTTGTGTCGTCATCACAGGTCCTTGTGGCTGGTAGAATTTGTTGACCTTTTGCATGCTGTATTTTTCAGTGCTGGCAGTGCCTTAGCAGACTATTTGTGGAGGTGCTACAAAAGATAAGAAGAGGAAAGGAAGGATTTTCCTCTATCACACACACACACACACACACACACACACACATATGAAGGGAGGGAATTGGGGAGCCATCACTTTTGTCCACTGGCAAGTGAAGACACTGCAAAGGAACGGGGGAACGGCCCTGAGGAAAGTGCTGGCTGCTGGATTTGGAAAAGCCCACATGTGGTATGTGCAAGCTATCTCCACCACTGAGGCACCAGCTGGGGATGGGGAAAAGTTTCACTACTGCTACGATTTTGTGAGAGACAGCTAGCCAGGGATGCATTATTCCCATGAGAGATCTTGCCTCCAGAGTGACACTAAGACACCTAATGCTTTTTGGGGTTGGGTTTTCTGCATTTTGTGCAAAAGTCTCTGCACAGAATTAGCTGCCTTTTCCATTGGTGCAGGTAAGAATTTACAGACACATCAAGCAAACAGGAGGGGTTGTTTGATTGCATGGACACAAACCATCTATCTGATACTGTCACTTTTACTAGCCCATGTAACAAGGAAACAGCTATTGCATGTTATGATACTGCAGGTTACAGGGGTTTGCAAATATCATTCTTGCAAATTAATAAAATCCCTCTGAGACTGACACAAAACCTCACTGTTAGAAGTCACAATGGAACCCTGCTTGGAGGAACTTCATCCAGCCCTTTGGCAAGGCACCTTCTTGAAAACATCTGCACTGAAAGAGGGATTTGAACAGGAAACTGCCTTCAAAGTTTCCTATCCTGGATTAATAGATGCATGAACTTTTGTACTACAGGACTAAAATATGTCACACCATTCAGCCATCAGATTCCAGTGCCATTCTTTTTCTATAAATTCATAGATGATAATTTTCTACTTTATAATTGATGTGTTTCCTTTTCTACTTTACAGGGAACAAGAAGGTAAGGAAACAGATGTTTACTAAACAACCAAATCCAGATGTTTTCTGAACAACCAAGATGTCACTGACAATGCTCTCTCTTTCTCTCTCTTTTGGCTGCCTGCAGAAGATTGCATTGAAGAAGGTACACTTCTACATTTACTAGGAGAGCCAAATTAGGGATCAATAGTGATGTGTCTTACGCAAAAAGAATAGTAGTTTTTTTAAAAAAAATCTGTAAACTATGTTTATGCTGTAAACTATGTTTTTCAGTGTGGCTACTGGTAAGTTCTATATTTGACGAAAGACTTTAGCTCATGTCAATGCCTTCTGAGCTGTGGCTGGTGGAGGAGAGAGGGAGGATGTTGTCTTTTTTCCCCCCTGGTACCCAAAATGTGGAATTCTGACCATACCAAGTTAGTTTGTATCCTTCTTTGCCACCATTTGACAAAGTTTCTGCTCCATTAAGCTTCTGCACTTAAGCTTCTACACTCCTTGCTATGTAACATAGCAAGAAGAGATGGTTGTGTTAGCCTGTTTCAGTTTGTGTACCAAAACAAAAACAAAAATAAAAATTTCATGGCACTCTAGAGACTAACAGACTTATTTCAATGTAAATTGTTCTGGATTGCAATCCACGTTCTCTGGTGCATGGCTAATTATTCTGCTGCATGTGTCTGAGGAACTTCCACAGAAGCTCACAGTGAAATAAATATGTTAGTCCTCAAGATGCCACAATACTTTTAGTTTAATATTTGTTTTGTGTTTTGTTATGCTTCCTATATAACAATGCTTGGTGCTTTACTACTGCTTTAATGGTGACAGGTAGTGATGCTGAATGCTGACATCTTAAGTACTGTCAGTGCTTGTTTGGTAGGTTTAATGCCTATTGTCATGAAGCAATTTTGCTATCTCCATTTTGGGTGAGGTAAGCCATGTCTTTTGGATTCGCAGTGTGGTGCAGTAGATAGAGTTATGGTCTAGGACTCTGAAGAACAGGGTTTGAATCGCTGTTTGGCCATGGAAGCTCACTTGGGGAGTGGAATTTGTAAAACCACTACTTAAATATCTCATTTACTTTGGAAGCCCAATTATGGGCACTATAAGTTGGTTCCGACTTGACAACATAGAACACACAATCACGTCTTTTATTATAAATAATAAATAACTCTATGAAATATACAAATTATTTTCCCTAAATAAGGCTTAAGAATATCTAAAAGATGTCTCTTGAGGATTTTAGTTATTATATCAAAGAAGTAAGGAAACATATCTTTGAAGAATTGTTTGTTTTGTTTGTTATGTTCTAAAAGAATTTATGCTATCACTCTATGCAACTGAATGGATTAGTTCTGAAACTAAATTGAAACCCATATATGGGAAAATAAGTCTAGGACAAGCTTTTGGTTACTTCATTCACGGGAACTTGATCAGTATATCTGCATTTTTACAGAATACTGCTTGTTCTTCTTTTTACTTGAATGAAGCCTATTTGTCCATGAATAAGTTGCTGTTCTGGATGTTCCATACCTTAGCATCTATTGTCTTTGCTAGTGCTTGGTTTTGTAAGTGCTTTGCACCTGAAAACTAGCTGCTTGCACAAGTGTAAAAAAAAGATCAGCACTGGGTGAGAAAGCCTGCTTGACCCCACAGCTTGATGTGATCCTTTGCTAACCTTCTTTACTTATTCCCTTTCACCATCCTTGCTTTGTCCTGGTTAAGAAGAAGAAGATTGGATAGAGGTGGAAGACGGTAGTAGAACATTTCTTTTCATTTCACTTTATCACTAGTTTCTTAATGATGTGTAAGCTGAATACTCATTGTTCTTTCATGCATGAGAAATATATCCACGTCTGTACTGGGCATTCACTGTATGCAAATTTACACTGCACAAACCTATCTATGCATAACTATAATTTCCTCTTCCCAGAGAATTCAGGGAATTGCAGTTCTGGGAAGAGGAGCTAGAGATCTGTAATAATTAATTCTCAGTATCTTATCAACATCCAATTTACTGTGAAACTTAAGCACACTGGCCTAAATCCGATACTAGGCCCATCTCGAGTAGATCCTTTGATTCAATAGGACCTACATAAATGTTAACATCAGTGCCAACTTGATTAAACGACTCTGCTCAAGCTGAGATTAGCAGTTGGATTTATGCTATTAGGTTCAGCTACGATGGCATAGTGGTAGGAAAAAGGATACTCTCCATGTGTTCAGATAAAGATATTTTTTCAGAGAAAAATACTTTGAAGGTGGAAGAGATCTTTGTAATTTAAGACTGAGTGCTGCGAAGGCCAAGTTCTAATGATGCCTTCTGGAACTTCCTGAATGGTTACCCTTATTGGTGGTACTTGGGTTTTAAACTTGCAATCACGTATTCATTCCTGCATTTCAGAAATGCAGGATTGTAAAACTAATACCAGATGTAGATTTTGTAAGGGTCTGGTGGGTGTGGTCATAATTGGTTTCCCTTTTGTAACATCATACTTATAATTTAATGAGAGACTTAAGGCCAGCAGCTCCATTAATCAGATAAGGTGGTTGCCTCAAGTAGCAGGTGCTGAAGGGCAGCAACAGCCAGTCCCCTCATAGAACATTCTTCCTGAGTGTCCGGTCATTCCTACACACTCCTGCTCAGACCATTGGCTGCTGATGTTTTTGAGATGGTTCAGGAATGTGGGAAGATTCTTCCCAGATGCACTTTGAGTAACTCTCTCTATGTCATGTTAAGGACTGGCAGAACTTATTTCCCCTCCCACAAATCATAATGTGTTCAGTTTAAGATGATATTCCTAAGAGATTGTTCTCATCATTTATTAGCCATGCTCTTTGGTGATGTTATAGTTAACTACTTTTCTTCTTTGATCAGCTTCTCTATGGCTGGGGTTCATTACCTCAAGCACATTATTTGCCAACCTACAACTGAAATCCTCTGTAGCATTAAAATCATTCATCTGTTTTGTTCTACAGAACAAGAAGAACAACTAGAGGAAGCAGAAGAAAATGGAGAAGAAGCCACAGAAGGTGCGTACTGATGTTCACTTGAGCACATCGATGGCTGATGTAAATATCATAATGGCATGCTCTTCATGGAATGCAGAGGGGCAAGGGCATTGGAGGGGATAGTGACTCTGCACCTAGCTAAGGAAGTACATTGCAGAAATTGTCAATATTGCTTTCATCCAAGAATAATGAGAATTCTGTTAGTGGTTTATGCATGCATAATTTAAATTGTGTGACTCACCACAGAGAATTGTTGCTAACTAATGGCGTGTTGGTCATTTTATGGGTTGCCCACCCAACTGCACAAGCAGCATGCACTTAGTGATACAACCAGTGTCTCATTAGTTAGTGACATTTTTTCACAGTGAATTATACAGTTTAACTTAGATATGCATAAATCACTAACAGGATTCTGGCCAAAATGAGTAAAGCTGTAGATTTTCATAAAATCATAGAATAATGTAGTTGGAAGGGGCCTACATAAAATCCAGCCCCCTCCTTAATGCAGGAATCCAAATCAAAGGCTATCTGCCAGGTGGTTATCTAAATGTCCTTCCTTCCTTCCTTCCTTCCTTCCTTCCTTCCTTCCTTCCTTCTGGACAGAAGGGAGCTGTTTGAGTATTTATAAGTATTAAATGAGGAAGAAATGTTGATTCTGTGACTTGTACAGTGCCCAGGTTTCTTGGTGTACAGATTTTATATCACTTTGTGTCATACCTTGTGTCACACTTCTGTGACTTTGTTTCAATCAATCCTCCATTACGCTATTTTGTCAGCATATGTAGCAGGGGTACCATAACAAAGCTGAGAGATAGAGGAAGATATTCTATCTTTGGTAAACAGCACCTGTTTGTGTCTGAACTCAAATGTCAATTAAAATATCTCTTTTCCCTAGGGAGAAGATCAATGATTTTGAGAACTGTCGGTGTCTTGAGACCTAGTCAGGCATTAATTTCTGCTTAAAGAAACAGTTAGCCCACTCTCTCTGTCCTTGTGTTCTTCACAGAAGCAACTAAGAACTTGGAAAGAAGTTCTCCAGTTCTTGCTTGCATGTAGAGCGCACATGCTAGAATCAACTTGTCTTCTGCAAACTCACTGTCACTCATGTACAGAAGGTGATGGGTGGGTCTAGCTGCTCCCCTCTAAACACATTCAAGGAACTGCATTCTATATTCTTTAATGTGGCTTCAGTGTCTTCATCAGCAGTCAATATACCCTGAACAAACACTGTTTTTTCTCCATTGGCCAAAGGAAACAAACATCTAGCATTCTTTGCTGACACTAGCTTTGTTATTTTCACCTCCTACTGCGAGAAAGGAACACTGCGAAGGTTTCCAGAGGACATAACAAATGTTAGGGAATGTTTTCAGAAACTGACACACCCCTGCCCTGGATTTTCCTGAAGGCACCTTCTTTGATGCAACTAAATGCTCTAATATCCATTACGCTGATATCACGTCATCCTCTGCCCTGTATTTAGGAGTGGGGAGGCTGCTTTCTCTGAATTCCGTATACGAGAATGCCAACAATGCAAACCTTGCCAGTAATGCATGAGTGAACTATGAAATATGTTGGCAATGATATCAGGCATGGCTAAGAAGGACATAGAATATGTATCAGGCAGTGATGATTCTAGGTATCATTTTGTCTACATGGCACAACTCTAATCAAAATTCATCATTCTTCTTTTGAAACAGAACAAGAAGAGCAAGCTAAAGAACCAGAAGAAGGTACATGAGAAGAAAAATCTGTCATGTACACCAGGGCCAGAATATGAGAAAATCTCATTACTTTGGGCCTGATACTGATCTTGGCTCTCAGGCTCACACAAAGCAGTGGGTGGCTGGGTGTGTCTGCATAGCGGCACTAGCAAGGGAGGAGAGTATGACAAGCATTCATCTGGAGAGTCTGGCAGCAGAAGAGAGAAAAGGAGAGCTGGAATGTGTGGAAGGTCACCTCCATTGTTTGCCATCTCCTTTCCCAGAAGTTTTAATAATAAAATAAAAGTGGAGCTGGACATAAGGATGGGAAAATCCTCCAGGTTCATTTTCTCCTGCATTGGAATGCTTTATGCCTCAAGTACTATCTATCATAAAAGTGAAGATTATGGTAGATCTTGGTAAATATTTATCAAAAATGAACTGAAATAACACTTTTCACCCAATCCTACTAGTGTGGCAGAAAAAGCAGAAACACATGCATGGTATGAAGCTTTCTAGACTTACTAGAAACCAAGGCCTGTGTGTAGGATCATATTGTCTCATGTTCTTGCTTTTCTAGTGGATATTGTAAGTCCTATTTTTGTTTCAATCCCACACAAGGGATAGCTTCTGTAATCTATGTAAAGAGTGTGGGAGGGGTCTGTAGCCTTTCAGGTGCTGCTGGACTACAACTCCCAGGAGACCTACCCAACATAATTGATATTGAGGGATGGCAGGTACAGTAGTCCAACATCCCCTGGAAAACCACAAATTGCACACATGATTTCAGTCCTACGGTTAAAACAAAACCATACTATAAGAAAAGATTATTTCATGGTAGGCACTGCTGGTTTTTCAAGCCCTTAAAAAGCAACAAGAACGTACATTTTGTACAGCAGAGAAACATGATACAGCTACAGCAAATAAGACATAGCCATCTTCATCTATAATTTCATGGGCTCAAAACATTAGATCTGCATGTATTTTGCATGTGACATTTCTACTGGGCATCCTAGGAAACAATTCCACCAGAAAACTTAAAGAAATCCTACCCGTGAAAACTAAGGCAGGAACTAGATAAAAGTGTCCAAATTCCCCCTCCAACACTGGGGAAAGGCATGTTTGGGGGGCACTGCTGGGGAGGGAAGACCCCTAACTCTTCCTCCAAATTTCCCATCCACCTGTGGTTACAGATACAGGAATGCTAAGCTACAGACATTCCTAGTCTTGGTTTGGTTAAGAAGCTTGCCAGAAAAGGTAGCAGGTAAGAATGGTAGCAAAGCACTAACATAGAAAAGGAAATGCAAAGACTACCCTGTAAATTAGAAACCAAATGCTTTATACATAAAAACAGTTCCATAAGCCCTTGGAGTCAGTAAAAATGAGGGAAGTGCTATGTCCACAATTCGTTTTCCATGAGAGCAGATAACATATCTTTGTTTTATCGTCTTAAATTTTTGTTTGCTTTCTTGCAGGGGAATCTAAGCCCAAACCTAAGTAAGTATACATTCTTCATATTTCATGCTACATTAAATGTACAATTGCTGAGGCAAAAGCTGTTAAGGGAATGAAAATAAGAGGTAACAAGTAATAAGGCAACCAATTTGAAGAAAAATAAACAGTCCAGTAATTGAACCCATCTTTTCACTTTGTAGCATCATAGCACTATATCATATTCTGTTGGACACTGTTTGAACCTCCACAGTACTTGAAATGGCCATCATGTTATTATATAGTATTTATGAGACCTCTGTGGCCTACATTGGACTGAAAGAGAAATTATAAGGCCATTAAATAATGGGTGGGTTTATTCAGTTTTAGGAAATAATATTTTCTTTATAAGATGAATGGAAAGGGATTGCAAGAAAAATCATGAAATACATAGGACATCATACAAAGAGTTCAAATTACAGTTGTTGTGGGTTTTTTGGGCTCTTTGGCCGTGTTCTGAAGGTTGTTCTTCCTGACGTTTCGCCAGTCTCTGTGGCCAGCATCTTCAGAGGACTGGAGTAGGAACTCTGTCCATGCTCTGTTGCTGTTTGTTGGATAGTTGAGTATTTATAGATGTGAGAACAGCTTTTGTCCTTTTCAGGAGATAGGGTGATCAGCGTTTTTTTTGTTGTGGATGTATTGTTGTGATAAGTGGGAGAGATTATCTGTCACTGTGGTTGATGGGTGTCTTTAGCTGGTCTCTTTTGTGCAATGATCCCTGGTCCTTGTGGGTGGGTAGAGTTCAGCCATCAGGAAGAACAACTTTCAGAACATCAGGAAGAACAACCTTTAGAAAACAGCCAAAGAGCCCGAAAAACCCACAACAACCATCAGATCCTGGTCATAAAAGCCTTCGAGAATACAGTTCAAATTACAGTAAAAACCATTCAAATAAGTAAGAATCATTTCAAGGAGAGCAAAATCAGTATAAAACAATTCAATATAAACACAAGTATGGCAAACAGCAATTCACATTGCAATTTTTTGTGAAATATACTGGTTATAACAGTCTATATGAAGCTTAAAGGAGCTGTAGATCCTCTCTCAAAAAGGCCATCTACAACTGGATCTGCTCAGTGTTGTTCCTGCTGCTGTTATTAGACTTTCCTAAGTGCTAGGAATAGATATGTTATCTCAGTGAACCTAATCTTAAAATAGCCCTATAAAAGTTTTCTGTTATTATCCACATGACATTATGCAAATGATATGCTAAGGTTAAGAGATAGTGACTTCAAGACAAATGGCATTATGATTTCATGGTGAAAGCTACATTTGAACTTAGGACCTTTGCCTCATAACATCTACTCTTAGCCCTTTTGCTACATTAGTGAAATTCTTTCTGACTTTTAAAAAGTGTGTTGCTTATATACCATCCCATAGTGCTTAAAAGACTCTATGGGCAGTTTACAACTTCATTAGGCAGGCTACACATTACCCCACCACCACCACCAACACCACCACCAAACTGGTTACTCAATTTACTCAGAAGGATGGAAGACTGAGTGAACCTCAAGCTGTCTACCTGGGACTGAATCTGGGTTGTGAGCAGAGTGTTGGCTACAGTACTGTAGTTTAACAACTGCATCAGCTCTGTCATACTTCCTCCCTCACTGTAGTAAGGTAATTCAGAACCTATGACCATTAGGAGCCAGTTGACTGGAAGAGACTGACTTTGACCATTTCCTGTTGCAAATCTGCCAGCAGAATCAGACCCTTCCTAGACTCCAGGGAATGGCAGACATAAAGTGCAGAGTTTGGGACTGGACTGGAGAAACACTTCTGGTCCTCTTCTTCCTGTATGTCGTGTTCAGCCTGAGGGATCTTTGTGCCCGCAGCAGAGGCTTCAATTTCACTAAAACTCTTCAATGTTCAAAGAACTCAGTAAAAAAAAGTCATCGCTATTACTCTGTTGCATTTTCTTCCTGTGCTTCTGTGAAGGTACTTACAAGCAGATTGGTTTCACAACATTTATGGGAAATAGGCTGGGAAAGAGCAGTTTGCCCTGAAGCAATCCAGAAAGTTGAACAGCAACTTCAACCTGTGTTTCCCATAGCCACACCCAACCCTTTAGCTGTAGTGACACACTTGAATGTTGACCTAACTTCAAGGCAAAGTACAGTTAAGCTTCCTAAAAAGGAAATCTAGTGTGAAAGACTTGTGGCATAGCATATTTCACACTGCAAGTACAATTTTAAATGCTTGCTTTATTTGTATCAATATATTTTTAATCTTCAGCAATAACAATATTTTGCAATAGTGATCAAAAGTGAGAATCCCAGGGGATACGTCTCACTGAACTCACCAAGCCTTACTTTGAAGTAGACATAGAAAGAATTACACAGCAATGATGTCATCCTGTATGTCAGAAGTGAGAAAGACATGAGCTTCCAGATGTTGATCAATTCTACCTCCCAGTATTCCCACCGACTAAGCTGGCAAGACTTTGTTGTTGTTGTTTAGCCGTTAAGTTGTGTCCAACTCTTCATGACCTCATGGACCAGAGCACGGCAGGCCCTCCTGTCTTCCACTGCCTCCCAGAGTTTGGTCAAATTCATGTTGGTAACTTCAATGACACTGTCCAATCATCTCGTCCTCTGTCGTCCCCTTCTCCTCTTGCCTTCACACTTTCCCAACATCAGAGTCTTTTCCAGGGGGTCTTCTCTTCTCATGAGATGACCGAAGTATTGAAGCCTTAGCTTCAGGATCTGTCCTTCCAGTGAACACTCAGGGTTGATTTCCTTCAAAATGGATAGGTTTGTTCTCCTTGCAGTCCAGGAGTCTCATGAGTCTCCTCCAGCACCACAATTCAAAAGCATCAATCAGCCTTCTTTATGGTCCAGCTCTCACTTCCATACGTTGCTACTGGAAAAACCATAGCTTTGACTATGTGGACCTTTGTCGGCAAGGTGATGTCTCTGCTTTTTAAGATGCTGTCTAGGTTTGTCATCGCTTTCCTCCCAAGAAGCAGGTGTCTTTTAATTTTGTGGCTGCTGTCACCATCTGCAGTCATCATGGAGCCCAAGAAAGTAAAATCTGTCACTGCCTCCATATCTTTCCCTTCTATTTGCCAGGAGGTGATGGGACCAGTGGCTATGATCTTAATTTTTTTGATGTTGAGCTTCAGACCATTTTTTGCACTCTCCTCTTTCACCCTTATTTAGAGGTTCTTTAATTCCTCCTGGCAAAACATAAGGGAGTTCAAATGAAAAATTTCTGGGTAACCAAGAATTCCCCACCTGCTCCTAAATTCACCTATGTAGGAATAATTTCCTTTGAGCATAGTTTACTGCATGATTTTTTTCCTAAATTCCACAAAGCATCTATTCTGACAAGAATTGTGTAGGGTTGCACTTCAACTAAAGTTGTTTTTAAAAATCTGAAAATACAGAAGAGCAAACACAAAATCTCTCTTGTGTGGTAAAAAAAATACTGACTTTTAAATGTATTGTCTAGAAGTGCAAAGATGCTGGGAAGCATAGCAGGCTGTGGGGGCTTGGAAACAGATATAGTGCTATCCCATTCTCACTCCAGTGTGCCTTGATATGAAGTTATTACAGCTGTTCAGTGCTCACATAAGTCAAATAAAGAAAAATAAGACCACAGTGACAGGTGTGGCCATGGTATAAAGCCCAGCAACCATGACATTCCATATGGCGCCCTCAAATGAGCTATAAATTGTTTCTTTGGCTTGCAACAGTATTCACATGGACAACAAGCCTAAAATAAAATGGATTCTGCAACCAGTTTATTTGTTAGAGTTAGATTTCTTCCAGTTTTTCATTCTTGAGAATTTGAATTGAATGGATTTATCATTCTGCACGTACTGCAGAGCCTCTTTACTGTTTCATTCTTACATCCTACAGCACTTTTGATGATAACAGCAGCAACAACAGAACAACAGATATTTTGATAATAATAATGTGTGGATAAGTAATGGCTTCATAATAATATGTGGATTAATAATGGAGATAATGACCTGTCAGTAGCGCTAAGTATTAAGCCTTTGTATTGTCTTTTAAAATCAGTTTTTCCACTTTAGGAATTTATGAATAAATGAAATTAGATTATAGTCTGATATTTTTAATCCAGTTATATCATCTTCATGACAGGTGTTTATTCCAGATGTAGGCTCCAGATGTATGGTTTGGTCTGGACAAACATCTCATTGTATGGGAAAACTGTTCCTAGGCTATTCCATATGGTGGTCTACATAGCTGAATATCCTCCTACCCACTAAACAAAGCAAAACATCTGCAAGTAGAAAACTCCTAGTCTAATCTGGTCTAGTCAGAGCACCCAGATATGCTGATTTTCTAAATGTATGTATTCCCACTGTCATGGATGAATATTTAATCAATGCAATCTCTCACTCGCACTCGAGGGTTTAATTACAGGAACAGTTTTATATGTGATATTTTCTTGACCACATTGAGCTGAAACCCAGAGACAGATCTCTTTAAAATCAGTGGGATTAAGTATGTATTTGTGAATAAATTTGTCATGGGAAGAAAGGTAATATCAATCAGCCCCTGGGCTTGTCAGAACAGATGAGCTGATAAAGCAGGCAGATGTTGCAATACTGCTGGGTTAATTCTTTACTTCTACATAATTTCAGGCTCTTTATGCCAAATCTGGTGCCTCCAAAGATCCCTGATGGGGAAAGAGTAGACTTTGATGTGAGTATTAACCACGGCCATCTCAATAAACGTGTTCCATACTACCTGGCCTTAATCTCCCACTGTAGCAAATCTTAACTAAGCCTTTTCTACCTTGTAGGACATCCATCGCAAGCGGATGGAGAAGGATCTGAATGAGCTGCAAGCCTTAATTGAAGCCCATTTTGAGAACAGGAAGAAAGAGGAAGAAGAACTGATTTTCCTCAAGGACAGAATTGTAAGTCAAATCACTCCATGCCACTTCACCATGTGCTCCTTATGACAAGGTCCTGTTCTCCAAAACAGGGTGCAAGTCCTGTCTTCTTACAGGTTAACATGCTGCTATTATCCAAAACAATTTAGATTCCTCTATGGCCAGTTTTTTTCTGCCATTAATATTTGATGGTCTTACAACAATTGTTTGGTTTCACAGATACAATGTAAGTCTTTAGGAATCTCATGGCTATGATATCTAAGACTAGAATTTAATACTGTAATTCTAAACTCTTTCACAGGCAGCACCCATCACCCTTTTTCTCATTTGGTTAGGAGAGAATGGGGGATTTACTGGGATTTGCGTTCAGACCTTCCTTTTTCTTCCCTTTAAGAAAATGCTTTCTGCTCATAAAATCTTTAAAGACACCTTTAAAAAATATTTACGAAATCCACTTCTCTCCTGGAGCTTTTGTTTTGTTTTGTCTCAGTTCTAATTGAAAACTTCCAACCAGAATTCATGCACTGGATGTTAATGTCAAATGCTGTACTGCAGCTAAAACTGTGCTCATGACCTGGGGTTCAAATCCCAGGTAGCCGGCTTAAGGTTGACTCAGCCTTCCATCCTTCCAAGGTCGGTAAAATGAGTACCCAGCTTGCTGGGGGGGCAATGTGTAGCCTGTATAATTAAAAATTGTAAACCGCCCAGAGAGTGCTTGTAGCGCTATGGGGCGGTATATAAGTCCAATAAATAAATAAATATAAATAAATAAATAAATGGGAAGTGCCACAGCCATGAACTCCATCCCCTGGTACAAAATGCTATTAATTATCTAGTACATAGTACCAATTATCTAGTGCATACTACCATTATTTTAAAGGTCTGAGAAGGTCTGAGACGAATCCTTATTACATGCAGATCTAAAAGTCATGATTTATTTAACATTTTGGTTGTGGAAAAACTCTGTCTTCTTTTTAATCTCTTCATTTTTCATGTTTTAGGTCCAAATAAACAGCTAGCTTCACCATCTAAATACTGCCTTGCTTCCATTAAGAATGTTCACTAACTGGGGACTCAAAAACTGTGCATAGCCAGAACTGGCCTTTCTAATGGCCTCAAAGAAGCAAAAGTGGGAAAGTAGGTTGCTCATTGTAAAAGGAAAAATTGGTAGCTCATTAAAAGGGCTACCAAGAGTCAGTTACTTATAAACACTGCCCTGCTATACATATTGAGGTCCCACTGTATTTAGTGCATGTAGTCCCTAGGAAGTGTAGGACTGTAGCCACAGTATTTTCTAATTTTGGGGGGACAACATTTGCATTTCCCAGCTCAAATGTCCAGCCTATATCCTGCCTTTTGAAGCAGTCTCCAGCCAAGCTGCTTCAGGCCATATTGCTTATGTTTATAGCAAGATATCCCTCCTTTAGAACATTCATGAAAGTGTATCAAGATGTCTCATAACCCATGTTGAGTATTCCCCTTCCAGGAGCAGCGGCGAGCGGAAAGAGCTGAACAACAACGGATTCGTAGTGAGAGAGAGAAAGAGCGCCAAGCCCGCTTGGCTGTGAGTATACTGCAAACCCAGAGTCCAGAACAAGTTTTGCTTCTAGGTTTTTGAGAGGTTTGAAGGAAAATGGTTTTGTAATTTCAGCCATTCAGTGCTTGTTTGCTGCCTATGAAAACTTTGAAATAAGTACCATCACTAATGTACATTTTATGTACGTACAAGCCCAGCCCAGTTGGTGCTTATTCTCCTAGATGTTTCCTGTCTCCAGGAGCAGAAAAACAGAATGAGAATCTACAGCTGTCTCTTTTCTAGCTTTTCTTTTCTCCTTCAAAATAATGCAACACACAGCCATTAATGTCTAAACCACTGGCAACAAAAGTGAGTACAACTCCAAGTGACAATGTCCAAATTCAGCACAAAGTGTCAATATTTTGTGTGGCCACCACTATTTTCCAGCAGTGCCTTAACCCTCTTGGGCACAGAGTTCACCAGAGCTTCACAGGTTGCCACTGGAGTCTTCTTCCACTCCTCCATGGCGACATCGCAGAGCTGGTGGATGTTAGAGACCTTGTGCACCTCCACCTTCCGTTTCAGGATGACCCTCAGATGCTCAGTAGGGTTTAGGTCTGGAGACATGTTTGGCCATCACTTTAGCCTCAGCTTCTTTAGCAAGGCAGTGGTCATGTTCGAGGTGTGTTTGTGGCCCAGTTTCTGAAGGGAGGGGATCATGCTCTGCTTCACTATGTCACAGTACATGTTGGCATTCATAGTTCTATCAATGAACTGTAGCTCCCCAGTGCCGGCAGCACTCATGCAGCCCCAGACCATCACACTTCCACCACCATGCTTGACTGTAGGCACAACACACTTGTCTTTGTACTCCTCCCCTGGTTGCCACCACACACGCTTGTCACCATCTGAATCAAATAAGGTTTATCTTAGTCTCATCAGACCACATGAAATGGTTCCAGAAATCCATGCCCTTAGTCTGCTTGTCTGCAGCAAACCACATCTGGGCTTTCTTGTGTATCATCTTTAGAAAAGGATTCCTTCTGGGACGACAGCCCTGGAGACCAATTCGATGAAGTGTCCGGTGTATGGTCTGAGCACTGACAGGCTGACCCCCCCCACCCCATCAACTTCTGCAGTAATGCTAGCAGCACTCATACATCAATTTCTCAAAGCCAACCTCTGAATATGACGCTGAGCACGGGCACTCAACTTCTTTGGTCAACCATGGCGAAACCTGTTCTGAGTGGAATCTGTCCTGTTAAACCACTGTATGATCTTGGCTACCGTGTTGCAGCTCAATTTCAGGGTTTTGGCAATCTTCTTATAGCCTAGGCCATCTTTATGTAGAGCAACAGTTCATTTTTTTCAGATCCTCGGATAGTTCATTACTAGAGATGGCGACGACTCACCATTTTGATGAGTTGTCCTGCTTCGTGAATTGCCAAAAGTTGACGACTCACGAAGCATGAAGTTGCCCCCATGAAGCAATGAATAACGAAGTATTCATCGATTTGTGGGGGTGTTATTAAAAAAAACCCACCACCACCACTGCCACCGCCCCCACTGCTACCACCTCCCCACTGTTTAGACATTAATGGCTGCATATTGCATTATTTTGAGGGGACAGCACATTTACACTGTTATACAAGCTGTATACTCACTGCTTTACATTGGAGCCAAGTGTCATTTCTTCAGTGTTGTCACATGAAAAGATATACTATTTATGAAATGTGAGGGGGTGTACTCATTTCTATGATATACCGTATGTCTCGGTAACTTCTAAAATGGATTGCCAGAATTATTTCTTTATAGGGTGGACCTTGACAACAGCATCAGAGTACATCAGTATGATTATCATCAGGAGATTTTTTTTGCCTTTTCCTTTGGCAGTAGTAGTTCAGTTACCTGCATTAGTTTGAATTTCCCTTTTCCTAAATCCAAACTACTGACAGCTTTTTAACTTTATGAATGCTAAATAGGATACAAAGGAGCTGTTGTGGTTTTGCTCTCTCCTAGTGAAGAAGAGTGGTTCCTTCATCTGCCGTGTAATCCCAAGAATTGCACAAACATCCCTCTGATTCAGTCTGCATTTGCTCATTTGTCCAAAGCCTACAGTGGGGTCTCGACTTACGAACTTAATCCGTATTGGAAGGCAGTTCTCAGGTCGAAAAGTTCTTAAGTCGAATCTGCATTTCCCATAGGAATGCATTGAAAATCATTTAATCCGTAGCTGCTCTTTTCGTCCATAGAAACTAATGGGAAGCTGCTATTCCGCCTTCTGCCACTAGAGGGGGATAATTGTTTTCTTTTTCCTTTTGACCTAAGATGACTTAGCTTTAAAAAAAAGGGAAAAAAGAGTTCGTAACTCGAATCTAAGTTCGTAAGTCGAGTCCATATATTCCTATGAGAGCGGTTCGTAAGTCGAAACGTTCGTATGTACCCTGCTTTTCTCCTTAAAAGGACCTTCTCCTACTGCACTTCTGTGCCATCACTTCTAATTGTTTTGTCCATGAAGTCTCCTAAGTTATGCAAACTTTGCATAGGGCTTCTGGGCAATTCTCTATGTTGTTTTGAAGTCTTACTACGATTCTTTCCTTGGCAGGAAGAGAAAGCTCGGAAAGAAGAAGAAGAAGCTAGGAAGAAGGCGGAAGAGGATGCCAGGAAGAAGAAGGCTTTCTCCAACATGCTCCATTTTGGAGGCTATCTACAGAAGGTACCTGCCCCCTCATCCCAAATGTTATTTATTTATTTAAAATATTTTTACCCTGCTTTTCTCCTTAAAAGGACCTGAGGCTGGTTACAGCACCAGCTAGGATGGGTATTTATATTCTGCCAAAGAAAAAGGAAAAAAGAGGATAAAACATGACACAGATTTTTCAGAAAAAATGTATATGCTGATTTATAGACAGAGAGAACGCTTTAAAAATAAAAATTGCCACAGTAAGATTGTGACCATGTGATTTCAGTGTCTGCCCAATCTGCTTTCCAGCAGCACAGTGCTAAGGTACATGTCCAAGGCTTTTAGGGTACCCTCACTCTCACACTTCCATTTTTATTTCCCAGGGGTAATCTGGTGCTATGCCATTTGACTACAAGAAGGAGCCTTACTGTATACTATAAGCACACAACCTTTAAAAGTGCTACAGTCTATTGTGATATTTTGAGTCACATGTGAGTTCTGAAATGTAGAAGCAGTGATGAGGTTATACTTAGACCCACTGGGACACTCATAAATGACTTTTTTCAGACAGAGAAGAAAGGTGGGAAGAAGCAAACAGAGCGTGAAAAGAAGAAAAAGATTCTCACTGAGCGCCGGAAACCTCTGAATATTGATCACCTGAATGAAGATAAACTGAGGTAAAGATGGAGATTGATAGCTTGGCCAGAAGGTGAAGGCTGAAATGGCAATAGGTAGGGGTGGAAATGACCTCTGTCAGATTTGCATTTCACTGTGAAAGTACATATGTCATACCTCTCAGTACTGGCAAGAAGGTGTAGTGTATTGTCCCTTGGAAAGTTGTACATTTCTGAGCGTTGCAGTATGTTTGGCAAATAAATAATCTGCACAAAACATGCGTACATTGAAAAATGTACAAAACTAAGATGCATACATGCAAAAAAGGTGCACAAGGAAGCCTTAGCTAATGGAAATATATACATATAAAATGCACAGAGAGACAAAATAAGTGTGTTGTACTTTTGTGGGAGGGAAGACAACCAGCAAAATCTCTAGAAACTGGAGTTGCAGAAAGTGAGAAAAAGCATTGCAATTTGAAATGGAACTGGGATGGGATGAGAATGCAGTGGCATTAAGGGGCTGTTCCCACATTCAGAATAAACTGGCAGAGGATAATTTTTTTTGTTTGTTTTAATTTGGGATAAAGTCACATGGCCAAAATTGGGCAAGGTCTGCCTGGACAATGAGAATGATGTCACTGGTTGGCAGCAGATGCCCACTGATTAAAGACTTCCTTTTGAGATTTTGACATTAATTCATTGTGTTATATGATAGCAGGGTGCACGGCAAAATTAAAAAAGGAAGCTTTTCATCGGGGACAATTTGCTGCTGCCAATGATGTCATTCTTGTTGCATCAGTGGAATTGCATAATAGAATTTCAGCCAAGGACTACATATCAAGAGCCCCTTAAAAACTACTTAATTCTAAAGATGTTTTTTCACACCGTTATCATTCATGTCATAAGATATACAACATTATTGACATTCAAGCTTAAGCAGACAGAGTACAGAAACAGACAGACCACTAGAGGGTACCATGATCATACAAAAGTATGCCTCACCTGGAGGCAAACTTCAGGTACAATTTATGAAGGTAAGGGGTGTGTGGTACCTTTGTTAGATCACTAAAACCACAAACATAAGCTAGCTTTCAGTTTCACACGAGTCTTCATCTGGTTGGGAATTACAGAGTTAGGGGTGCTGCAGAGGGAACATAGACATTCAGAATTCCATTGCCAGATGTACAGGCCAGGCTTCCTTATTTGAAGCAAGTTCCAAAATGGGGGTTGCAGAAACAGTGCAGAAGTGTTAGGTTTCAGATTTTACCTCAGGCACTGTGGATTAGAACATCACTCCCAGTCTTGTTAGATACAGGTAAGCTTCTCTTCCTACCTACTGTTTAAGCTATGGTTGGAAATTATTGCAGGTTTTCTCAGTTTTATTCAGGTTGTCCCCAAATCCCAAGTTTTGGACATCTAGAATCTGTGAAGTATCCATGAGTCAAAATGTGTTATATAAATGTTAAATATATATATTTTAGCAATGAAGTTCACAAATGGGTAGAAAGGTAAATATTTCATTTCATGAACTTAGAGGACATTTTGGTTAAGGTCTACATAAAAATAATAGATATATATCTAGAGTGGCTGAGTTTCCTCCCAGCCCATCCAGATGCCTGCCATTACAGAAGGTGCTGCTACTACTGTTGCCACTAAAACAGAGATTCTGTTTAGAGAAACATGGTGCCAGAGAGCATGTATCCTCTTGCCCAGAGAAAGTGCATGGGATACAAGGTTTACATTACCTACCACACACCATGTGTCCATGCAGAATCAATGTGTTTTGGTGGGTAATGGAAACAGAAGTGGAAGTAGCAATGGGCTTTGCAAATACCTGCATCAGCCTCAGTAGGCTCTGCCCATCAACACTTTAGAATCCTATCAGAGGTGAAATACATATACATACCATACATCTTATGAATATTAAGAAGCATGCACACTTCATTCTCTCTCTCTCTCTCTCTCTCTCTCTTCCTCACCACATATATATCACATATATATTTTCACACTGATGGACATATATAACATCTACCTATTATCTTCACATCCTCCCCACACATTTGTGGTCACAATGGCATACAGATACCCTTATACTTAGCTGCAATTCACTCTCATACTTAAGACCAGCTTTCCTCGGTTTGCTGCATTCCAAATAGGTTGGACTGTGCATGTAAACACCGGCTATCACCGTAATTGATGCAGCATGTTTTTATATCAGGGAAAAAGCCAAGGAACTCTGGCAAAGTATCCATGATCTGGAAGCTGAGAAATTTGATTTGCAGGAAAAGAGGTTAAGGTCTACATAAAAATAAGGTCTACATAAAAATAATAGATATATATGTAGAGTGGCTGAGTTCCCTCCCAGCACATGCAGGTGCCTGCCATTACTGAAGGTGCTGCTACTATTGTTGCCACTAAAACAGAGATTCTGTTTAGAGAAACATGGTGCCAGAGAGCATGTATCCTCTTGCCCAGACAAAGTGCATGGGATACAAGGTTTACGTAACCTACCACACACCATGTGTCCATGCAGAATCAGTGTGTTTTGGTGGGCAATGGAAACAGAAGTGGAAGTAGCAATAGGCTTTGCAAGTACCTGCATCAGCCTCAGTAGGCTCTGCCCATCAACACTTTAGAGTCCTATCAGAGGTGAAATACATATACATACCATACATCTTATGAATATTAAGAAGCATGCACACAACACCCATCTTATGAATATTAAGAAGCATGCACACTTCATTCTCTCTCTCTCTCTCTCTCTCTCTCTTCCTCACCACATATATATCACATATATATTTTCACACTGATGGACATATATAACATCTACCTATTATCTTCACAACATATATATCACATATACTGTATATTTTCACACTGATGGTCCATATATAACATCTACCTATTATCTTCACATCCTCCCCACACATTTGTGGTCACAATGGCATACAGATACCCTTATACTTAGCTGCAATTCACTCTCATACTTAAGACCAGCTTTCCTCGGTTTGCTGCATTCCAAATAGGTTGGACTGTGCATGTAAACACCGGCTATCACCGTAATTGATGCAGCATGTTTTTATATCAGGGAAAAAGCCAAGGAACTCTGGCAAAGTATCCATGATCTGGAAGCTGAGAAATTTGATTTGCAGGAAAAGTTCAAGAAGCAGAAATACGAGGTAAGTCTGAATGTCTGTTGGAATAGCCATCTGCTTACATCCACAATAGCTAACTGTTAGATTGAAGGATATGAGAACAGAGTAGACACTTCTGACAAGCATCTCCAGTGCTGTCAAGAAGGGTTTGACAGTTGTTTGATAGATGTTAGACATTTGATAGATGTATCAAAAAGGATGAAAACATTCATCTGCTATAAGTGCCTCACTTATCTTCAGAGATACTGTATAACAACCAAGTCAAATCAAGTTTGGCTCCACTTATCTTCAGAGATATAACAACCAAGTCAAATCAAGTTTGGCTATGAATTATCAGGTCATCATCCTTTTTTACTAAATTACCTCTGATTGGCTTGGATTACCTATATGAGTGACAGATTGCCTTCATGATCTATTTAGTAACCTTTTCTATCAGGATGTCATGAAATTATCCCTTCACATATTCCATTACGACACAATCCCCGATTGCTCGGAATCTCCCATCTTATTGTTGTCAGAAAGAAGAAGACCCATAGTTAAGAGGGCAAAACGGCACTGAAATAGCAACAGACTAAGGAAATCATGAGGATGAACTTTTTTCTTTCTTTCTTTTTCTTTTGATGGTATGGGGAGGTGAATGTTTCTTGCCATTATGGTTTTCCCAGGCTTCATTCTCCCTCTTTTGCAAGGAGTTCTTTAAAAACACTCTCAAAAGTGATCCAGACATACCTTATTTCAACCCTAGCTGCATTAATGTTTCTTCTATTTTTATGATTACAAGGTAACTCTGTTCTCAAAACAAGTACAGACAGGCAGGATTAATCTGATTTGTTTCACTTGGATGTGAAGATAGCTTTTCCCCCCACCTGAAATCTACTTTAGACCTCAGAACTGAATGAGTCTTTAAATGAGTAGAATCAGATACCTTTTTGCTTCAACTGTATGTCTCTTTTTTGGTAAAAGAAGTAAAAGTATTAATGTAGGCCTGTGGTGGTGTATCCTTGCCTAGTGCAATGTTGAAAGGCCCCACAACATTTGCTGGAAGTTGCAACACACTCTGTGAAAACTGGACTGGCCCAATGCATTTTTGTCTAACAATTATCTACATCTAGGAGACCACCTTTATAAGTGTATTTTGACAACTAGCTTGCCCCTGTCATTGCTGAATTGAATGAAATATTGCTACAACAGCTTAATTAATCTGAACTAAAACTAGCTCAAAATATAGCATCACTCTCAGAAGTTACTGCAATTTCACTAAGTATTGTGAGTTAGAGGTAAGTCAGAAGAGCACATTTTCAGTCTTCCAGCTTGCATTTCTGAGGATGCACGATTCCTTCTCCCTTTCACTTTTCCCTTCCTCCACTCAACAGTCACTCAGCATCCAGAGGTCACTCAGCAGGTTCAAATCCACATCAGACTTTTTGATGTTCCTCTTTCCTAGGGTTTTTATGTTTTTGAAGTTTGGGGGTGACTTCTGTAAACATTGAAGTTTTCTCCAAGCCTGATGATTCCTCCTTCTGTGTGGATAATGTCATTTTTCACTACATTAAGATTGTCATTCAGAGAATAATTTTGACCCTCCACATGTAGTTGAATTGCAACTCTCATCAGCCTCAGACAGCACAACCAAAGAAGGATGCCCACTTCTGCTATATAGGGTGCAGTCATTCTGCACAATGACCCTTATTCAGCAAGGTGCTGAACATCAATGGCTGTTTTCTTACAATCTCTGATTTCTTTCAGTGAACGTTTCCTTTGCAAGGGCTTTCATGTAATGTATTCCTTTCTCTAACCCTAACCAGATTTCCATACTCACTGCACGCTGCGATGAGCTAAGCAAGTAGTAAGTATGGCCTGTTCCCTGCAAACAGCAAAGTAGAGTGATGGATGATACAAGGTGTGAAATCCAGTGTGCAGATATTGGATATCGCCCCCTGCAGTAAAGGTTCAGGGCTGTCAGTCTTTTCTTAAGGTGGTCTTTTGCTGTCTTGCATGCTTGCCTTGCTTTGCTTGCAAAGATTCAGTTCATTGTGGTCAGCCAGGCACTTGGTCTTTTCAGCCAGACCGTTTGACAAGGATATGCTCATGAATGCTCTTTTGAAACCATCCTTTGCTGCTATTGATCCTTACACCAGAAGCAAAGGACAAAACTGCATTTTTAGTTAGCCACATAGATTTGATCTTTCCTTTTAAACCCTTCCAAGATTTATAAGCACTTTGGGTGAACTTTCTTTTCTACAAAGAACAATGCATACTGCTCAAGCTCCAGAATGCAGCGAAATGCTTGGCAAGAAGCATCAAGCCCGGGAATTGCAGATTTTACTACCTCAGATACCTACTACTACCACGATGGAAAAAGAGGACATTTACAGAAGATGTAGTTCCTGGCCACATTGGAGAATCAATCTGAAAAATACACAGAAATGTGAGAAAGCAAGCTTTGGCTCCTTTCTTTTATCAATTGGGGCAATGTTTGCTTAAGCCAGCTGGACTTATAATGTCTCCACATGAAAGAAGTCTTCCATGTTACAGAGGAACTGCTCTTTGTGATAGTTGACCATAAAGAGATCCACTCTTCTTTCTAATTCCCAGTACTAAAAAAAGAAGTTCCAACAATTCCCCAGAGAAATCCTTTACATTTGCAATTGCACAGTGCAGTTATACTGACTATTACACATTGTGAACCAAAGCCATCATATTCAGTTTCTTTTCTTGTCCTTCATCTCCTGACACTGTAATCTTCCTGATCTCCTCTTGGGGAAATATCACCATGAAGTGTCACCTCCTGTCTATTTCTCTTGCAGATTAATGTTCTACGGAATCGCATTAGTGATCATCAAAAGGTGTAAGTACTCAGAACATGTACCACCTCAATCTGTTTCATGGCACCAAGCACCCTGTAGAGCTTCTTTCTTTCACATGGACACCTCTTTTTCCTTTCCTTTCCCTTCCCCTTTGCGAAGTGCTGGCTCACTGTGGAGCTTTCAAACTTCTGTCTGTGTTTTGCTTTCCTCCTTAAACCTTCTGTTCCTCATTTCATTTGCCTTCGCTTCTCGTTAAATTAAAACTGCCAGTTCTTTGCTCTTCATATCTTGCTTTAGGAATCTGCTCTAGAAATTCAATCGTTAGTAAATGATGGCTACTGGTATGACTCGATCCCATGACTTGGTGGTCAAGAGTCTTGAATCATGAACTTCTGACTAGCCATGTAGTTAATACTGTTAAGGCTACAGAGAGGTGGGATGGTGGTGGTGGAAACCTCTTCCTGCTCTTGCTTTTTCTTATTTTCATCTTTCATCCCTAATTTCAGCTGGAGCTTGCTTTTTGCTACCCCCTGTCCACCATTTTACACCCTTTATTTCCTTTTCCTTGTTTTATCATAGGAGTCAGATCCATTAAGAAGCTTGTGCCTGGGGTGGGATGGGGTTGGCGAGCAAAGGGCTCCTCCATTGCAATCTGAAGAAGCTGTCCCTAGTTGGATCCAACACAGCTGCTCCATGAAGAAGAAGTCTCCTTCTTCTTTAAGGCTCAGCTCAGTGTTCCTACTAGAGGAAGGGGGAGATAAATTTTGCCAATACTCCTTACCTGAAGGGGTCTCTGGCTATCTCTTATATGTGCCTCTGGATATCCAGCCCTTTAGAAGTAAGTTTCAGGAGACACACTTTATAAAGGCTATTGTCATCCTCATTTTGCCAGTAGTGGATCTCAGGCTATTGCAGATCTGTGAAATCTGTGGCCAGAATCCTACTGGGGTTTTTCTCTGGAGTAAATGAAATTGCATTAGCCATGCCGGATAAATGTCACTAATTTACAAGGTGTTTCATTGTGTGCCTGGTCATGTGCCTGTCTAGGATCCTTGCCCAACACTTTGTTAATTAGCTGCAATTTGGTATCATAGCTATATAATTTCACTTTCCTCAGATTAAAATCACAATAGAATTCTGGCATGTATTTCTTATTATCTTCAATTTTTTCCTTTTGTTCTCCCCATCCATCATCTGTAGTTTGCTTCTATTCCTGTGCTTTTCTCTGTTTGCCTCTCTTAAATTTTTACTAAGTTCCTTTTTTCCCTTGCAAACCTTTTATATCCTGCTTTAGCTACTGTCCACTGATCCCTGTATTGCTTCCTTGCAGCCTCCTTTGATCTCCACTTGTTTAATTCCTTCACAGCACTTCCCCTTCTAAGGATGTGTCAGTGAAGATTACTTTGGAAATGACTTGATACTATGGAATTTTTATGTCATAGCTGACATGTCCAGGTTTCAGTAATGAAACCTCCCAGTGAAACTGTTTCTTGCCTATGAATCTTAGAATCTGCTCGTTGAGACAAGGCATTAAGCTTCTTTCTTCATGTGTCAGTACTTCTCTTATGGATTTGATGTCTCCAAGCTGATTCCTTGGTGTCCTATAGGTAGTGTGTAGCAGAGCAGAGAACTGATTCTCACCTGAAATCTTGACAGACATTCCAGCCACTGTGCAGCATACATGTCCACTCACTGGTGGAAGTAGAATGGTGGTGCAGGTAGCATGGTTGCAAAACTCATCAGACATTAGTGGCAGCTTGCACTGAGCAAGGCCAGGCTGAGACGTTTTGCTGTCTGAGACAAAGAACAAGGTAGCGGTTGCAAAACTCATCCAGCAGTCCAGACATTAGTGGCAGCTTGCATTGAGCAAGGCCAGGCTGAGACATTTTGCTGTCTGAGACAAAGAACAAGGTAGTGTCCCTTTCTCCTTGCATTCATAAAAGCCAAAGTGATATACCGCTTGAACAGAGGCAATGAGACAGCATCCTCCACTGCACCGGAAGGAAGCAGGTTAGCTTAAGGCACACAAGACCAGCTGCACAGCACACAGTCCTCACTTCAAACACCTTGCTTCTACTCCTCAGCATCTATCAGTTAAGGTGACAGCCTGATTGCAGAACTGTCCCTGCTCCTCAATGAGCTTTTAGGTGCATCAGATCCAGCCTACTATTAGCCAGGAGCTTTACCTGCCTCTTATATCTTACCTCTTCTCTTGTTCTCTCCTTACCTGCTTCAGGAAAGGGTGAGTAGCATGCTGTGCCCTTTGGGATGTGGTGGTTTGCAGTGCTCTGGTGGATTGTAGTGCAAGTACTGAAGAAGAAGAAAAATCGTTTTACATACTGTGATTTAAGTAGATCCTTGTTAATCAAGTTAATCAATATGACCAAGGAGGGATTTTTTTAAAAAAAATCCCTCTGAGCATAGCAAAGAGGATATCTCAAAAGGCAATAAGTCTATAACTTTTTAAACCCTCAGAATTCTAATATGCAGATCTTTACATAAATGTACGAATCCAATTACAAGTATTTCTAAATATTTAAGGTGTGAATGTGAGAAATAGGTATTTAAAAATGGGTATTATCACCCAGAGGCACTCATCAAAAAGCTGGGATTGGATCCTTGCTGGCTGCTGCAACACATTTAATCAATCTTCTTTCTATGGCATCCTTTCACTTAAGTCACATGCCCAGGTTGTCTGCCCTGACTTCACAGCCCAGACTTCATAAGCAGTGAAGCTCCCGAATCTTAGATGGTCAATGGGGCTTGAAATCATACATAAAGTCAACTGGTGGAAAGCAAAAGAGACCAAAGATTGATTAATCTGTTACTTTTGCTTCACATATTTTTAATTTCAAGGGCTCCCTGTCAAATATATGGTTTTTCTTACATAAAATGTTAAGTTCTTATTAAAAAATCAAAATGAATGGAGATTTCAGCAAATTGTATCGGCCATATTCCATAGGTACAGTTCATAATCTGGAAGTAACATGTTATTTGTAAGTAGTTCCTTTCCCCAGGAATAGAGGTCAAACTAAGTTACTTTACCCTCAGTAATTTTTGTATCTGGCTGTGGAGTCAAAGGTTGAGAGTTCAATTCTAAACTGTGCCTCCTTGGCAGGGGTTGAACTTGATGGCCCAGCTCTACAATTCTCAGATTATTCTAAAATTATTACCACTGAAATCAAGTAAGGGTAACTTTAATGCTTTTGAGATATAATTGTAATGTTACTAACTTCTACAGTTACAAAGATGTGGTCACATTAAATAGTTGAGGTGGAATATCCCATGGGTCAACTGCTGAAATGTGTTCTATCATGTACTCATATGTCATGTCTTATTTTGGATGTAGCACCACTGTAAAGGTGGATAGGAGAAGAGTGTGGGTATTTTTGCCACAAGCCAATAGCTTCTATTTTTACATGTTTTGAAAAAGTAACTGAAAGTTACTTCAGCAACAGTATGATTGATTTTGAGAAATACTGAAGTTATTTTTTTTTAAAAAAATGCCATGATAATGGTAATTAACTGCTTTTTGAGCACTAGTATACAGAGTACCACATTATACCTGCCTGCCATGTAACTATTAAAGATGAGACTTTTAGAAAAGAGGTGGCAGCTCTAATTCAACACCATAAACAGATGAATGGATGGCTAAACAGACAAGTCCCTCTGCCTGCATGGGTGAATCTGTTAATTCATTCTGTCAAATTTATGAAGGATTTTATTCATATATGATGTCTCCAAGCTGATTCCTTGGTGAGAAAATATACAGTTTTCTCATACCAACGATATCATTTAGTATTAGCTTTGGGTGAGAATTTCATTTTGTTATTTTTTGAAAAATGAGAACTTTCTTCATATATAAAGTTCTCATTTTTTTTAAAAAAAAAATAACAAAATGAAATTCTCACCCAAAGCTAATACTAAATGCCGAATTTGGCATGAGAAAATTCTGCATATTTTCTCAAAACAGTAAATATCTTTCTTAATCTGACTGTGAAAGCTTCCCAGATTTAGAAACAGCTGCTTGCCTTTTTGAGAAGCAAGCCGGAGGCACTGGCCAGTGACTGAAGGCTGGGAATTAGGCAAATATTTAGAGATCACCTGGCAGCCTCATCACTGACTCAGCTGACAACAGAGCCTCAGCCAGTGTGAATCTGAATGACATCAGTGGCATCAGTGATACTGCATTCTTGCTCTCTGAAATACAGTATTCTCAGAAAGGCTCATGCATGGCTGGCCTCCAGACCATCTCACTTTGTTTATACTGCAGGCTCCTTGAAAGCTTGCTTGATTAAAAGGTAACCATGAGCTAGCAATGTTCACCAGCAAAATTGTGTGGACTGAAACAATTCCAGAGCAGGTATGCAGAAAGTGTAACCCCCACCTCAAGACATTGTTGCATTGCAATCCCTTCAGCCCTAGCCCACATAGTGACTAAGAAAGATTAATGGATAAGGCGGGTTGCAGTCCAGTAATAACAGGAAGGCCACACCTTCCCAATTTGTTCCATAAGTGGACTGTTGTCTCACATGCTCGGACCTAATTCTTTATTTCACTTGCATTTATCGTGGTAGACTGAGTGTCTTAAATGCCAGAAGCCTGTTTTCTATCCAAGCAGTGACTCTGATTGTCATACAGTTATTGCTTATTTAAAAATGTTTTGTTTTGTGCTTTTAGTCATCCAGGTAAACAGCACAAACTGGTTATATTGACCTCTCTGCTCATGCAAAAAAGAAATGTAAACTGGTGAAGTTGCTGATAATTCTCTATAAGAACTCTCTAGCACTGCCCTATTCACAGAGTTACAGCCCTCAGGGCTCCTAGGGAGAAAGAACCCTCTTTACCTCAGCTTAAGTCTGATCTGTAGCTATATTTCCTTAAAGGTGCAGGGTGAAGTTTGTTTTTCAGTATATAGGTCCTAGGTTCCAGTTCATTGTTTAAAGTACAGAAACATGACTATGCTAGGCATCTTATGTTTTCATTGGTTTGTCCTCATGTTGCCATCACCCTATGCATAACCTCATTGGCTACATCAGGTGGGTTTCTGTGTGGGTGTTGCTGAAGAACTTCACATGAGACAAAACTAATCCCTGTGCAGAAGCACCCATTCAACCTTTTCCCCCAAAGCAAAGACGGATGATAGTGTGCTCTTTCTGCTTCTGACTTTTGCTTTGCCCTCATAATTCTTAGCATTTCCTCATTTGTTTGTCTGCTTCCCAACAGCTCAAAGGCTGCCCGTGGAAAGCCGGTGGTTGGTGGCCGATGGAAGTGAGAGGTGGTTAATTCCTTGCCTGTGGAGATGGAAGAGCATCCTATTCCTGTTTTGGCCCACTTTTGATCCAAACTCCCAGCCCACACAGCCCAAAGGAATGCACCAACTGTTCTAGCTTATTCAGACCAGGCCACCTTCCAAAGGCCTCACTCTGTAGAATGACTATAGCTGTGAGCACAGCACTGTCACAGCTTGGAGCAGATGCATTGCTGTGTGGAGATTATTCTGTCACCAAAGTTAAGCATAATGTATCTGTAAATAAAGCAAATTAAGCAGCAACACCTCCTTCCTTTGCCTGATTGCCAGTTATGAATTCTGAGTGACTCTGAATATTGAATAGAAACAATATCAAATTTCAGAAAACATTTACTCTATGTAAAAGTCTTCCAAGCACGGGATTTTGAAAACCATTTTTGTGGAAAAGTCTCTTAATTCTGTCAAAGTTATAGACATATAGGTTGCCTGATGCCTCTTCCCCCAAGATTTGAAATCATCATAATCAACAGCACAGCCATTGTCTTATGTGATAGGTTTACATGGTACTTTACAAAGAATAGGTATGAGAAGTTATTATTCAGCAGACCTACAATCTTAAAAAGACACAGAGAAGCAACTGAGGAATGGGTCAAAATGGCAGGTGAGAGGAGAAAGTATTTTAGTTTAGTCCAGTGTAACTATATCCGTCTTCATGAATCATTTCTTATGAGGCTAGGTTCCCAGACCTTTTACCAATCACTATTCTGGCTGCCATCTTTTGGGTGTATTCCAGCTTATCAATAGCCTTCATAAACTAGGGCACACAAAACTGGTGACCTCTGACCAAAGCAGATCAGCAAAACCACAGTGGTAAGTCGAGGAAATAGAGTTGTCGAGCAAAGAACACACTGCTGAGTCCCAGCTATACTATTTGAAGCAAGGAAACATAAGCCAAGAGACCAACAGTTATCTTCTGATGTTGCATGCTGGCAGATATAAAAAGGAAAGTTTGCTGCTGTGGATTTTCTCCAGTTTGGCACCAGGTGGCAGTCTGGCATCTAATTTGGACTTTGCCTTGTCACACAACCACACCCTGCTTTCTGTTGTGCGCTTTTGTACCCATACCAAGTTGAAGGTGTTCTTTCAGCCTGATACACCTGCCAATTTTTTTCTGTCTCTTAGCCCCTGGTGTAGCTGAGTCAGACAGCTGCGCCAGCAACTGGAAAAGCAGAGAACACCAGCCCTCAAATCCGACATTCTGCTGAGCTTGTCCAACAAGAATCTACAGTTTTGCACTGAAGCCTTATCTTCTCACCATGGATAAAACTGGGGCATTAATCATGCATTGTGCCCTTGAGTACAAGCTATTTTATTCACAAATCACAAGCACAGGGCCTTTAATCTTAACCAAGAATCTAATGAAGGGGGATGGAAAAGAAGAAACGATAGAAACCTCAAAAATCCATATAAGGCAAACTGGTTTGTAATAGCAAAAGGCCTCCTTGCAAATCAGCTGTTTCTTTTCTATAGACCTAAAGGGGGCTCTGTTAGCTATGTCATAAGTAATGGGTGGTTATACAACCAATTTTCCACACAGCAAATGTAGATATTGTTGAATAGTATGCCATGCTTTCACACTGTTAAGATTGCCCTTTCCAGGCAAGATAGTCTGAACCTACAGACAGCGTACCTGTAACTCTCCAGATGTTGTTGCAAAGCAATTCCAATCTGCTGTATGCAGCATTGCCAATGGAAGTGATGACTGGAGGCATAATTCAAAGCCATCTGGAAAACCAGAGGTTGTATATGGTGACTTAACTAAAGACATCTGTTCTGTACCAATGTCTCATATTTGAAGTCATAGCTACCTTCCTTCACCTCAACTGATAAAGAAATGGGGATATGCAATGAGAGAGAAGGAGATCCTTAATATCATATTAGGAATCTATTATTCAAAAAAAGGTCTACACATTTAGCTTCCTCATGATCCATTCCTGTATTGTGTGCGTGTGTGTGGGTTTGTCTTAGGAGCAACAGTTATGTTCACATATTTCAACAACCATCCCAGTTGGCACATGAATAGAGTGAATGCATGAATTGCATTAAACCAGTCATTAACATAAGTAATATATTTCTTCAGAGCATATAAGGCATTTTTCTTTGTTACGTAGTTTGTTATTGTGACCCAAAACACAACAATGTTCTGTCTTACACTGCTTCACCAACGCCAGCTGGCATTTAAAGGAAAAAGCACTGAAACCGATTTTGAAGAAAAAGAATGATTAGTCTTTAAAAGAACAGAGTGCTTGCATCATGTGCTTTGCATATTGTCTCTTGTCGTTGTTGCATGTAAGTGTATGAAGTGCAATAAGTGTGGTATTTGTGTATTTTTTGGGGGGGGGCTGGCTCAAGATTTCCTGTGTCAGAAGTTAATACGTATTTAGGGTTGACATCACACATGTGTTTCCAAGTACTTGAGAATGTGCTGCCTTCGTTCTCTCTTCAAGCGCATTATTATTGCCCACAAGTTCCTTTTCCTGCTTTGTCTTCTGATAACATGGGTAAGGAGAAACAGAGAACAGAGGGCAGAGGAGGCACATGTCGATTGCATGATCTGCTTCAGTCTCCCATTCTTATGAAATCCATCTAGGTGAGGCTGGCAAGGGGTGAAATGGTGAAATGAATCTTGTCCATTTCATCAATGCCCTATTAGTTTTTAAAAATAAGCATGGATGGTGGCCTACATATTCTTTGGAAGAGGATGGGATCCAAAGTAGTGAAAAATGGTGAAGTTTTCTTCTACCCTTGTCAGTAGTGCCAGGGATGGGTGTTTCCAATTTATGCCTCAGATAACCTGTGTGCACATTCACAGGAATGGAGGAAGGATCTGAATCAGTTAAAGGAAGCACACAATCAGATAAACTTTTGTATCAGGGAAGAGAAATTCAAGTGTAAATAGGCCTTTCCCCAAACATTTGCCACTCTCTGGACTAAACACTGGATGGAACATTGAAAGAACAAAACCACAATACCTTTTAGTTCTGGTCTGATACAAACGGCACTCCTGTCTTCAATTAGGCATACTATTAGCTGGAGTGGAGCCTAGAAGTGTTTTAGGTGGCACCAACAGTCTGCACCAGGTAAGGGTACAGCCCTTGTGTTCATTGGTACATGGCAGAGAGGACCCATGCTTCCTCCTAGAATTCATGAGACTTGCTGGATCTTTTCATCCTCTCTTGATCAGGCCTCAACTTGAAGAGCTTGGGTGTGTGAGTTTTCATTGGCACAATCCCATGGACAGCTACAAGGAGTTGAAAATCCAAGAGAAACTTTCTACTGAAAGGAGATGACACATTAGCAGAACTGCACCTTCAGCTTAATAGTGGGCAGAAATCTTTTAATCCGTCATCTAGTCATCTTCTTTCCAATATTGATAGTAAGAGCACAATATTTGTATAATTCATCTCAGTGTTCATTTGATGGGGTGGAAGAGAGGGTGTGTATAGGGGGGATCCATCCCCTTTTTAACAAGAAATCCAGCCCATAAACTTAAAATTTTAAAAACCCCACAAAAGCTTAATGACATTATTTTTCAAAAAATCACAAATTGCTTTCCTTGAATGTGTTTTTTTCTTTAGGAAAAAGTCTCTTGGTCCTATTGGAATTTCTTCATGCCTTCAGTTTGGAAACCAATACTAAGCACTTACCTTAGAATTGATCCCTTTCTGACATCTGTATCAGAGCTAGCATAATGCCAGCTGTAACAGTACATTTAATGCAAATTTTCATACTGCTAGCACTATATATGAATACTTTTGGTCGTGGGAACATTCTTTCAATCACCAATTAGGTTTCACAACTGTTTTTCTGGCAAGGCTTGTGTGCTCTTATAACTTGCACGACAGAAAAGAAAATCAGCAATTCAAACTTTCTTCATCACTGCATCTCTGTACTGAGAAAAGAAATGAATTGGTATTGAGTTTCTGTCATGTAGCTATTAAAGGAAAATGCAGCTCTTCCTCGAGAAAAACAAGCAGCTTAAACTACAGTAGTAATAATAACTACAGATAAGGATTGGGGTAGCTGATCATGAAATCACTCTATAAATAAATATCCATCCATGAATGTGTGTCAGATAATGCTTTTGAAAAACTGGATGTTTATATGTGGCCTAAGACTCCTTAAATGCTACTTCCTACACATGTTGCACAACAAAGAGACTGTATACTCTGATGATTTACCACTGAAGCTGGTTTGCTGGTTGGTTAGAGGAGAGTTTCCGTGGGGATCAGCCACCAAAATGCTATAAAAGGCTATTTTAAAAATGCAAGAAATGGTATGATATCATTGAGGTTGGTGGTTTCTTTATGGTGAATGAAAGGCATGTTTTCTCTAGAGTGTGACTTGTTTCTCTAGGCTGTGTCTGAGTCACCTACCCATAAGGGCCCACTGTTTGATGAAAAGAGACACCAGGAAACTGGTCTCCGTTGATCCCCTCTTTCAGAAGAAGGTGTGGTATGAACTCCAGCCCAGACTTGAGACAAAACCTGGGAAGAATTGACAGGGCCAACACATTGCAAACTCCTCCCAGGACTTGCAAGGCTGCTACTATCATTCTTTGGAAATCTTAACACTATTATACATCTAAATGTACAGCTGCGAAAAAGCGCAATACCAAATATTCCCTATCTGCTGTCCAATGCTCAAATTCACATGAAACTCTACACATGAATATTTGTTTGTTCATTTGTTTAAAATATGTTAACACACCTTTCCCCTTGAAAAGGAGCCAAGGTAGCTTATGATTAAAAGACAGTATTTAAGTTAGTAACAAGGATACAACACTAAAAGAATCAATGAATACAATCCCCCAAAAAACATAAGCAATACCAAAACAAATTCAATGCAGAAAGCATCACAAACTATTTTTAAGAAATTGCATTCAGCAACCATTCATTCAGGGAAAGCTTGCCTAAAGAGAAAAATCTTTGTATGTCTGTGGAAGGACAGTAAAGATGGACCTGGAGCCAGTCTAACTTCCTCTGGGAGATAGTTCCAGAGTCTGGGAACAGCAACAGAGAAAGCAGTCTCCTGTGTCCCCACCCATGCACCTGTGAAGGGGACCAAGAGGAAGGCCTTTCCTGATGATCTTTACACTAGAGCAAGCTCATAATGGGAGATGCGGACACACAAGATTCTCTTGGCAAGTCAGAGCAGACACTCTGGCTCAAACACAGATACAAACCAACCTTATGGCATAATTGCACACACATGGAAATGCAGGTATAGAAAAAAGATGACAAGT